ACGCGGGCAGGTGGGCGGCGGGCTGGTGGGGGCTGGTGAGCTGCAGGACCGTAGAGTCTAGTGGAGGGGCGGCTGTGAGGCGGGGCTCCTGCTCTCGCCGGGTGGCCCCCCCCCCCCCCCCTCGGTCCCAGCGATCCCTACCGCTCAGGATCTTGGGCTGCAGTTCGCTGGTCTCCGGGATGGGTGGGGTCAACAGGTCCACGAGGCCGATGAGCAGCGCCTCGTACACGTCGTCGTAGTTGACCAGGTCCTTGATCAGCTCGATGGCTGGGGGAGGGCAGAGGCGATGCAGAAGCCTGCCTCCAACACTCTCCACCCCCAGCCAGGAAGCAAAGAGCTCCTTGAACCACGTTGCTTTGCTTTACCTCATCCTCTTCACTGACCTTTCCTGACCTTTCCTGGCCAGCACTGCACCGGGTGTGGGGAGAGCTGGGCAGAGGACACCTCGGTCCTGCCTTCTTGGAGCTCTTGGTTATAGCGGAGGAGGGGGAGCTCTCCCCCTACACCCCTACCAGCCATAAGCTGGGGTGGGGACTGGGGGGCAGGGTTGGGTGATGAGCCCATCCATCCTGGAGGCTTGGAGGAACGCAGGAGGATTCATGCAGGAGGGAAGGGCTGGGTTTTCAAAGGGAGACAAGGGGTGAGGAGGAGACAGCAGGTGGGTGGGGATGTGTGGCAGAAAGTGAAAAAGGGGTGCAGGCAAGGTGGACAGCAGTTTGGAGAAACGTTCGTTTCCGATGGACCATTATCGAGCCCTTCTTTGCCTTGGTTGTGTGCTGAGGGCAGTGAGATTCGCTTTGCAATAACACTATGCCTGTTAACCCCATTTTACACGGAGGAATGAGGCTCAGAGAGGTACAGCACTTTGCCTAAGGTACCACAGCTAGGAGGCGGTGGGAGCAACAGGAAGGAGAGATTTGGTTAGGAGGGAGGAGGCAATTAGAATGTATTGAAGGAGTTTTCTGTAGGTGTTTTCCAGTTATTCATTCCTCCCAACGTTCACTCAGCTTGTAGAATACCTATTGTCACAGTATGGTAAGGAGCCTGTGAAAGGGGTCAGTAGGCTGTGGGCGTGCCTGGGGAGATGTAGAGAGAGGAACCAGAGAGGCAGAGCTGGAATGGGCAGGTTGAGATGGTACATGTTAACCGTGGTAAATGTTACTCTAAACACATGTGCTGGCTGCACGGGACAGGACTTAGAGATGCGCTGTCCCAGCATAGGAGCCGTGTGGGGCCTCTCCCTCCATTTACTCCTGGCAGAGCAGATTTAGGATAATTTGTTATCTCCCCGATTAGCTCTTTTGCATACCAGAATGCCATGTAGACACAGAACTGCTATATTAACAGTGTTATCTGTTTGAATCATAGAAATTGACCTTTTAGTTCTCTGTCAGTAAGAACATGTTTGGAATAATTCTTTGCAATGTGAGAAAAGCCTCCAGTTGCTCTAATTTTCTTTTTTTTAAATCCTCACAGTTTTTATTGATTTTTTAGAAAAAGAGGAAGGGAGAGAAAGTAACATCAATGTGAGAGAGAAATATTGATCAGTTGCTTCCCCTATCTGCCCTGACTGGGGATCGATCCACAACCTGGGTATGTGCCTTAACCAGGAAGTGAACCCACAACCTTTTGGTGTACAGGAGGATGTTCCAACCAACTGAGCCACCCGGCCAGCGCTAATTTGGTTTGGTTCTAACTTGGAATCACAGAGCCACAATACTGTGGAGGGAAAGGGACCAGCACACCACGCCTCCCTGCCACCCCCAAACACTCTCCCACCTGCACAGTAATGCGCCTGGGACGCCTCTGCCTGGACTGGCTGGTATCTGAACCCCCCCCCCCGCCCTCCCCCCATCCTTCTCCCCTGTTCTTATTGTTTGGTTGTGACACCTTTTCTTCCTTGCTCCTGAATGAGTGCAGCTTGGGTTTTAGGTCTGAGTGGTTGGCTCCTCACACCCAACACACTGGGCCTTGTCAGCTGCAGGTCGACTCTCAGGAGTGGTTGGGCTCGTCCCGGGCACAGGCTGGTAGCACCTTAGTGCGAGGACGCGGCAGGAACAGTGCCAGCCTGTGCCTCAGAGAGCTCTTCCTGCCGCTGGACATGGCTCATGGACATTCAGGGGAGGAGTGAACGGGTGGGGGCATTTTATGAAGTTTCCCTGACCCCAAACGGCATTCTCTGCCCACGTAGGACCCAGTACTCCAGGAGACAAATGTCTGGTTCTGCCTATTCACTTTACACTAAATGCTTGATCCTTCATTGATTATGTATCTGCAACACTTGGAGCTCCTCAGAAAAATGAAGATTTATTCACTGAGTCATCTCTGATTGAGTTAAAATTCATAGCTGTCACTGTTTACACCCAAAGCAAAAGTGCTTGTCCTGCCCAAATATCTCCACAAGAGACACAGCCAGTTACAACTCTCTGCCCTGCGTTAGTGACTAGGCACAGCAGGCTCATGCAGAAAGCAAAGGACAACAGGAGACTGCAACGCCTGTGGTACTGATGACACCCCTGTCCTACACTGAAGCAGTCGCTGATTGGTAATTGGTCAGGAAAATGCCTGACACAGGTTTACTCATGGGTGCATTCATTTATCTAACACATACGTACTGCGCATCTTCTCCGTGTCGGACCCTTGTGCTAGGGCAACGAGGAGGACTAAGGTCCAATCCCTGCCTTCGGGGATGACACATCTAATGGGACACCAGTAAGGAAACTGGCATTTATGATGTTGTGTTATAAGAGCTCTGGGAACATGAAGGAAGCCAGGTTGGTGTCAGAGCATGTGGAGGGGTTGGGGGTTAGAGAATCAGAAGACTTCCTTGGAGAAGGTAACACGTGAGCTGACAAAGCCACAGGGAGAAGGAGGGGACTGGAGTGAAGAATGTGGCAAGTGCCATGCTGCCAAGCGCATGCCACCCTTGTGGCCAGGCAAGCAGGGAGGCCTGGCTGGGACACAGGGCGTTGGTGAGAGCTAAGCTTGTGGAGGGAGGGCAGCCCCAGCTTCTGAGGGTTTTGCACGTGCCAACCACCCTGTAGAGCAGGTGTTTTCTCATCTTTCATTTCAGAGAAAACCAAGATTCCAAATGATTGAGTAACTTGCCCAAGATCAAAAGTTAATAGGTAGTAGAATGACTCTACAGATTCCAAAGCTGATATTTTTAAAAAAAAAAAAATTTTAAAAATTGATTTCAGATAGGAAGGGAGAGGGAGAGAGAGATAGAAACATCAATGATGACAGAGAATCATTGATCAGCCACCTCCTGCACGCCCCCTAGTGGGGATTGAGCCCGAAAGCAGGCATGTGCCCTTGACTAGAATCGAACCCAGGACCCTTCAGTCTGCAGGCTGAGGCTCTACTCACTGAGCCAAACCGGCCGGGGCCAAAGCTCATGTTCGTCACCACTAAACTCTGGTGGAGAACCAGGAAATAGACTGTGTGTGGGCACCATACTGGAGAGATGGAGTTTGGTTTAGAGGTGAGAAATACAAAGACCTGAATTACAGAAGGAGATGGAATGGAGAAGAGGGGACACGTTTGAATGATATTCAGGAGTTAGAGTTGACTGTCTTGTTGGAAGTTGGCCGGAGATGGGATGAAGAAAGAAACGACGATTGCCCACATCTGGGTGTTTTTCCCTGAGGCTGGAACCTTGGAAAAGGAAAGGTTTGGAGCTAGAACACCAGGAGTCCCATTCTGAACATGGTTAGTGACATCCAAGGGGAGAGGTGCGGGAGGCAAATGGAAATACGGGTCTGGAGCTCAGGGGAGAGGTCACTCTGCTCATCACCCATTAAAGGGGAACAATAGTGCCCACCTCATTTGAGGACTAAATGAGTAAGGAGCTAGAGCAGTACTTAGCATTTAGTAAACCCTTTATAAAGTTATCCATGATTGTTTCTGTCATTATAGGTGGTAATTAAAACCATGGCAGTGGACTAGGTACCACAGGAAGAAAAGAAAGAGAAGAGGACCTGGGGTTGGATCCTGCGAGGAAAAGAAAGGGGGTGGTGGGGGAACGGAACGCACAAAGGACTGAGCAGCAGCTTCAGAAAGGCGGGAGGAAGCCAGCAGAGCTGGGTCTGGGAAGGAAGAGAAGAGTATTCAGGAAAGTGGCTGGATCAGGAGAGCTGTTGAGAGATTATGCCCAGTGAGGCCGAGAAGCGCTCGGCAGGGCCCATACCCATTCATTTGACAAATGTCAACTGAGTAGGTGTCAGCTACACCACCAGTGCTGATGGAAGCAGCAGTAAACAGCCCAGGTGTAAGGAGTGGGCCACTGACACTCAGAGGAAACTTTAGTGCAAGAGGAAAGATTCTTCCAATCCAAAGAGGAACTGTGGGACCCACGGCCTGGCAGACTGGGAGAAAGCTTGGCGAGGCAACCACCTGTCCGATAGATGAAGAAACCCAGGGAATCACAGTAAAAGAGGCGACCGAGCTGCGGAAGGAGCCTTAGAAATGGGACTGCGCCTGGGAACCGTGGCTGTGTCATGCAGCCATTGCAAGTCACTCGGCACAGATGAGGTTTGTTTCTCAATACTTTGCTAGCCTGGGAAAACCAGGGTCCAGTTCTTTCTCTTTGCTTCCAGACAAGACTGCCACCTGCTGGCCACCGGCGAGAAGTGCGCTTCAGTTTGAGTCCACACACAGGTTTGCTTCCTGTTCCAGCAGGATAAGTGTGTGTGGCAAGTTGCAATGTTGCAAGGAAGAAACCTGTGTCAGGCATTTTCCTGACCAATTACATTCTGTTTCTTGTTTCTGTACATTTTGCCACCCCTTTCACCACATACTGTTCAACACCCAATGCTGAAACATTAAAATTATAGTTTATGCACTATTTTGTCTTAAAAAGCCAGGCAACAAAGTAATGAATGTTATGTGCTCTGGTGGTATATGAATTGCTATGTGTGTCTTCAATTGATACCTGCTCTTCTGGGCAAGTCTCACACCGAGTCCCACCAGCCTACTGGCCGGCACTTTTTGAACTGCTCCCGACACAGAAGCCAAACATTTCTATACCAGGTGGACAAGGGGAGACAGTACCAGGCCCGGGCAGACACAGAGGCTTGGAAGGCCAGGTAACTGGGATTAGAAACAAAAATTTCCCCGAGGGCTTTCTGTTAAAAAAACAAATGACAACTCTGGAAGACTATATAATCCTATGTAATAAAGAGGGAATATGCAAATTGACCTCATGCAGCCACAAAATGGTGGTGCCCACAGTCAATAAGGAGGGAATATGCTAATTGACCACCCAC